TCCTTCAGCTTTTACTCTCGTGAGAGGCTACATGTTAGACTAGCTTAGGGAAGCTTTCCGAACATTCAGTGCGGTAGCGACAATCCTGTCTGAGATGCGCATAGCACTCTAAATACCTCAGAATCGTAATCCCACTTTGGATGCTAGTTAGCGTACTTAATGGGATTAGCGAATGCATAAGATAATGCCTTGTTGTTGTTGCTCCTAGTTTTCCTACCAAACGAGTCAGGAGGCGTTTAAGAGTTGTTGAAAGAAAGATTGTTTGGTCAAGGAAAGAGAGAGCCCATGGGAGATCTGAGCCCACGTGTCGTGGCATTGGGAGCGGCGCTATTTGGCCTTACAGCACCTTGGGAAGCAATTTTTGCCTACGAGAAGTCAGGCGGGTTTTTCAGTAGTCTGAACAAATAAAGTAAAGTAACTGATTGTTTGGTCTTAAGGGAGGCCTTAGTGTAGTGCAGCGAATAATGGCATCAATTTTCACTTTCATAGAAGACACAGCTCGTCTTTCAGTTGAACATATGAAAAGGTGAAAGCGCTCAGGCGCTGAAGAAGGGACGGTCCTGCATCAAAAGGAGGCTTTGAAACGACATAATAGTACCTAAAAGCTTGTAATTCGCCATCCACCTTGTCTTCTACTGAATTGAGCAATGCAACATTGGTATTAGCTGCGATAAGACATGAAAAGTATGGCAGTGGAGAAGATGACGGGGATTTCGCAGATTTTGCTACCTTTGGGATAACTCGTCGTTAAGCGTGGAGATACTGACGTAAGCTTTGACGATTCTTCGCCTAGAGCAGGCACAGATTCGACTGGATCTGGATGGGAGCACATAATTCACCCGCTTCTTCTGCAAGAAGGCATCTAACTTTCAGTTATAGTTTATTCCTTCCGCTGGAGAAGTCCATTTCATTCCTCTATGGACACGTTATTCCCACAGGACTACCGTGGTGAAAACTGATGCGGATTCTCCTGAACAAAACTCATCGGATAGGCCTATCTGAATGCTACTCCGTTTGATGCCAGTTGGGTGCATACACGCCTTAAAAGACGAATGCGAAGATTTGTGTTCTTCTGCTTCTGTTCGTTCAAGTGCTGGTCTACCTACCGCTTCAGCTCTCACATACGTAGCTTTGCAAATCATTCACGATTACAGATTAGCGAAATGCGATTACAAGACAGCTACATTAGCGTTACTTCCTAGTGAATACCAACCGGTATTTATCAGTGATGGATAATGTAACTGCATTTGCACGTCTCTTGTTAGATCCAGAAAGAGTTCAAAAGTCATGAAGTACTAAAGAATGGCGCAAAGGTGATATGCTCATGCTTCAGAAAAAAAACGGTCAGTGCAGTCGCCAAGATCATCCCCTGCTGACGCGCGCAACGAATACTTCAATTTATCATACATGAACTATCTACCACATTTTTCCACTGAGACTTCCTGACCAGGGCCAAGCATACGTCGCGGAATCCGCTGCGAGGGATCGTATTGGGTCTCCCTTCTCAGTCGTATTATTTGCAGAGATCACGTAATACAGCAGGGACGTAACTTGCAGGACGAGCGTAAAAGAATTCGAGTACATGGCGCATTCCAGGGGTGTTTTACGGCGCCTCTCAGCTGCACTTCCTATTCACTACATGGTGAATTGGAGTACGGGGGCCTGCCAGCCTTCTGGATGGAACCGTAGGCTTTGCATGTGGGGATATCTTCATGCTGTGACTAAAGCTGACTTTTGAATGGAAATCGGCGGTGGGCCAA